TTAAATGGAGAACTTTTACCTTTTCACTTAAAGGGAGCACTTTGTGGCTTCTCTTTGGCGTATCCGACATGCCAGTGTCGCTGCTTTTGTGCTTTGGGCCCGTTACTAAGTAAAGCCAGGCCGACTCAGACACAAGCACTGGGTGCAGTGGTGTGTGTCTCTTAAGTCAGAGCACTGTAAGCCTGGTAGCAGTGTAGTATAATCTTTCTGTCCAGTTTTAAAGAAAAGTAAGACATTTTAGAAATCTAAATCTACATTTTTAATGATTTAAGCAGTCACTTTAATTCAGCAATAGGAAATAAGCTTCAGTATGAATTCACCCACATCTTTCCTTGACGACGCGGTCTGCGGGTGTTGTCAGTGCGCTGACAGCTGCCGCGTGTTCTCTGTGCCGGAGCTCGGTGCAGAGGTGGATGCGTGAAATCTGGTCATTCCTCAGAGAGTTTGGGTAGCATGAGTATATCTCAAATTATGAGATTAAGTACAAGGTCTTTGGTGTCAGTGGCGTATGTTTAAGATATAGAAAAACACATGAATCTCTTCACGAATGTGCTTTGATTTTTCAATGTACTTTCAAGGCTACATTATTAGCTGCATACAAATTTAGAATTGTTTCTAAACAGGTTCCATTGTTTTCCTGGTGAATTAAACCTTTCTTGTACAGTGTTCCTCTTTACGTCTTGTGGTTCTTGTACTTTAAAGTCTGTTTTGTTGGATATTAATATAGCGATACTCTACGGTGGGGGTTTTCATGGTATATCTTTTTCTATCCTTTTACTGTCAACCTTTCTGTGTCCTCAAATTTTAGTGTGTATATTGCAAATAGCCTATAGTTAGCTTAAAAAAAAATCTGGGCCGGGCACAGTGGCTCACACCTATAATCCCAACACTTTGGGAGGTCAAGGCAGGAGGATCGCTTGAGGCCAGGAATTCAAGACCAGCCAGGGCAACATAGCAAAGCCCAGTGTCTTAAAAAAAAATTAGCCGGTGGTGGTGGCACGTACCTCTAGTCCCAGCTACTTGGGAGGCTGAGGCAAGAGGATCCCTTGAGCCCAGGAGTTTGAGGCTGCGGTGAGCTATAACGACACCACTGCACTCCAGCCTGGGGGACAGAGCGAGACTCTGGCTCAAAAAAAAAAAAATCTAGACTGAAAACTTTTTCTTATATGTGAATAAAGCTGATTAAAACAATTTATAAGCAATAAAATTAACCCGCTTTAAATGTACAGTTCAGTGAGTCATTTCATGTGTAATCACCACCCTGGTCAAGGTCGAGAACATCATGCCCTGCTGTGAGGGCTCCTCGTGTCCCTGCCTGCTTTTTGTCACTGCAGTCCTGCCTTTTTGGAATTCCATCTCCGTGGGACCCTGTGGCATGCAGAGGTTTGTGTTTGGCTTCTTTCCCTTGGCCCCACGCTGTTTTGAGCACGCCCATGTCGTGATGTCAGCGGTTGCTTCCTCCTGTTGCTGAGAAACACTGACTCGCTCCCGTGTGGCCCGGTCTGGGCTGTCGTCTGTGTGGGCGGCTGACGGTCCGTCCGCGGGAGTTGGTTCTCCAGTGGTCAGCGGAAGTTAATAGAGTTGACAGGGGTGTATACTTAACTACCTTTTTATCTTATTTGATTTTTTTTGTTTTTTGAGACAAGGTCTCCCTCTATCACTGAGGTTAGAGTGCAGTGGTGTCATAGTAGCTCACTGCAACCTCACACTCATGGGCTCAAATGATCCTCCTGCCTCAGCCTCCCGAGTAGCTGGGACCACAGGCATGCGCCACTGACGCCTGGCTAATTTTTCTATTTTTAGTAGAGATGGGGTCTCTTGCTCAGGTTGGTCTTGAACTCCTGGGCTGAATTGATCCTCCTGCCTCGGCCTCCCAGAGAGTGTGGGATTCCAGGTGTGCGCCACCTCGCCCAGCCAGCGATGGAGGCGTT